AGAGGGAGAGAGAGGGAGGGAGACAGGGAGAGAAAGAGAGAGGGAGAAAGGGAGAGGGAGAGAGAGAGAGGAAGAGAGAGGGAGAGAGGAAGAGAGAGGGAGAGAGAGGGAGAGAGGGAGACAGGGAGAGATGGAGAGAGAGGGAGACAGGGAGAGGGAGAGAGGGAGAGAAAGAGAGAGGGAGACGGAGAGAAAGAGAGAGGGAGAAAGAGGGAGAGAGGGAGAGGGAGAGAGAGAGGAATAGAGAGGGAGAGGAAGAGAGAGGGAGAGAGAGGGAGAGAGGGAGACAGGGAGAGATGGAGAGAGAGGGAGACAGGGAGAGGGAGAGAGGGAGAGAGAGAGAGAGGGAGATGGAGAGAAAGAGAAAGGGAGAGGGAGAGACAGAGGAATAGAGAGGGAGAGAGGAAGAGAGAGGGAGAGAGAGGGAGAGAGGGAGACAGGGAGAGATGGAGAGAGGGGGAGACAGGGAGAGGGAGAGAGGGAGAGAGACACACACACATACAGAGACAGAGACAGAGACAGAGACAGAGACAGACAGACAGGACAGCCAGCCAGCTCAGCCTAAATGTGACACACAGATTCACAAACAAAAACCATTTACCTCAACTCATAGCAAAGGGGAGGCCAAGGGTAACATCACACCACATGGTACAGGCATCACACACAGGCCCCCTCCAATGACTGGAGGGATGGAGGCGGGACCGAGAACACCTTCCACCCAGATTGTTTCTGCTGGAAACCCAGGGGTTCACTCCGCAGCGCACAAGTACCGTGGCCACGCTCTCTGTGGCCAGATGTTCAGATGTATTGTAAACAACAAATCCCAGGAGCTACACTCCTTGACGTCAGTGTCAGCCACAGGGCCCAATCGACCACAGAAGTAACACACGGGCACACTTACACGTGGCCACTCAGACTCCAATACTATTTTCTTCTCCTGTGGTATAGGGAAGTGAGAGGTACCAGCCCCAAATGTATAATGGCTACATTTTTTTCTCTGTGAGAAGTTATTAAATGTCACCTACAGCCTGCATTCCAGCTATGACTGTATTTCCACCCAAGTTCTGGCACAGCAGGCAGAAATTTCATACAGTCACAGGCCACCCAGAGATGTTTCGGTCATTGACGAAACACATATGTAACAGTGGTCCCATAAGATCGTAAGGGAGCTACGAAGCTCCTGTCGTCCTGTGACACTGCAGCCGCTCTGAAGTCACACGTGTGTCTGATGCTGGTAGAAACAACCCTACTATGAAATCAGCTGTATAAACATACATCACATCCAATTACATACAGTACTCAGGGCTTAGAAAAGAAATGGCTGTGTTCTGATTTATGTACTTTCCATACTATATTTGTGACTGCTATCTTAGAGTAGTTTCTTTGCACTTATAAAAATGTTGGTTTCCAGTAAAGTGGCATGTCCTAGTGTGCCAAGCACAGCCCCTCCCATCTGCTGCCTACCGCATCCCATGATGGCATCTTCTTCTCTTAAGCTCGAATTACTGTTGGGTTGTGTGGTTTGTCATGGCCCAGGAGCAAAGGCCCAACCATAGAGGTGCACAGGGAGACCAAAAAATACAGTGAATTCTTGAATTAAAAACATACCATAGCAAAAGTACAGTACTGTATTATCATTAATCTTCCTCAAAATATGCCCTCTCCCGATGAGCATGCAGTACCGCCCTGGCCACGTGTGGAAGCAGCTCTGGAAGCCCTCCTTTGTGATGTCTTCATGAATTGGGATGAAAACTATGATGAATGCCCTGCAGAGGGCCTTGCACTGGAAAGGCGGGCTTGTAAAGAGAGTGCACTGAGTCCTCATCCCCTTATGCATCAGGTCTGGCCCAGTGTGGCTTCTGGCTTTTCCCCAAAGTCAAAACCATGAAAGATAGATGTTTTGGGTTGATTCAGGACATTGAGGTAGCAACTATAGACATTCACGAAAGAGCTACTCCAGAACTGCTTCAGAAAGCGGTGTAATGATGGGATAAGTGTCTTGAAGCCACAGGGAGCATTCAGAAGGGAATTAATGGCAATGTGCTTTCACTGTAATGTATTTTAAAATTTAAATACTTATGTGTCTTTTGTTCACATCATCTAGGTTCATGTAACTACACACCCGATGTTTACACAATGATGAAATTATCTAATGATACACTTCTCACATGTGTCCCATAAGGCAACATGACCATTATGAGCAAGGAGAAATTACTCAGCAGCAGTAACAGAATGTGGCAGACAGCAGTGCTGAGGTATTAACTGGGTACCACCATCCCCCAATCATGGCGCCACTGCCCCAGGCCTGGTGGACTGAAGATACAGAACAGAGCTCCTTACCGTGACTGGCATGGGTGTGAGTTGCACCTTCGGACCTGGGGCTCAGGGCGGCTTGTTTGAGTACAGTCACTGTCATTCACTAGAGTTGTGGTTTTGTTAACAATCCGTGTGCACGACACGATGGTTCTGCGTTCCCCTGGAAACCAACCACAGGGAGCTGAGAGACTGTGCTGCACATGCCTGGAAAGATCATTGCTTCCTACTTATGGGGAAGTGTTCAGGAGTAACTCCTGAACAGTGTTCTAGAGGGGGGGGGAGAGAGGGAGGGGGAAAGAGTTGAGAGGGAGAGAGAGGGAGAGAGGAGAGAGAGGAGAAAGAGGGGCAGAGAGAAGGGGAGAGGGAGGAAGGGAGAGAGGGAAGGGGACAGGGGGAGGGGAGAAATAGGGGGAGAGGAGAGAGGGAGAGGGAAAGAGGGAGAGAAGGAAGGAGGGAGGGAAGGAGGGAGGGAGAGAGGGAGAGAGCAAGCTGTGCAGGACAGGTGGGGACACCTTGGGGTAGGAGAGATTCTACAAGTAGCAACACCTCAGATCAGCTGTGTCCTTGGACAGTGTGGGATTCGTCTAGGCCAAAGTTCTGACTTGGGTCTGTCCTTCCCACACCAGTGACTGCCAAATCTTTGATCGTTCATTCAATGTCTTTGACAGTCTGGTCTCAATTAAGTACCTGTACCTCGGCCTCGTCACAGAATGACCTCCTATTCCAGGGTTGCTGCTCACTGGGGAGAAGTGAGGAGCAGCGCAGCTGTGTGAAGGATACACAGGCCCGCGCCCCTGGTGGCCCTCCACAGCTGGCCTGAACCTGCCCCTCAGCCAGCTGAGACCAAGCGTCAGCGCTCTGGGGCACTTGTGCAAAGCCACCATCTTGCTGGGTAGAGCCCTTCCCATGGTTCCCAGGGGCACCCTGAGCACTGTGTGGCCATGTGGGCATGGCTTTGTCAGGGAGGCCACATGACTGGAAGTCAGGAGGGTGGTCGCTGCAGCCAGGCCATCTGGGCTCAGTCTTGGCTCTGTCACTAACAGTGTCACAATACCACGGCATCAATAGTGCACTGCCATGCTTCTGGGTCTCAGTTTCTTCAAGTGGGCCGGTTTGCTTACCCTTCCTGTGTCTGAGGCCTTTTAGCTACGGTTAGCATTGAGTAATGCCTATAAAGTGCCTACACTAGAACAAGGCAGGCAGCTAACGCTTTGTGCTACCCTGTTACTCGCGTGGTTTCTACTTGTGAAGATTGATAACAAATGTTTAGTAACTCTAGCACAACGATTCGGATCCAGTCTCTGCTGGCTCTGTCTTCTAGGGAATCTGCCAGGGAGGGACGATGCACAGTGATGGAGCTCTGCGCTACGCTGCCAGCTCCTCCTGCTCATGCTGCAGCCTTGTATAGACATGGAGCAGCAGCACCTCAGGCCGGCAGCAGCCTTGAAAGCACAGAGCTGCCAGCTGTAGGGAGCTGGAAATCACTGGCCTCATGAAGGAACCACCATGCCCTCAGTGCCAGGGCAGGACAGATCTCCCCATCAGACAGAGGCTGCTGCTGTGCCTAGTGTGCGGCATGGTGCCCACGAGGTCAGTCTGGCTGTACTCACAGGCCTCAGCATTGGCTGCTGGGCTTGGAGGCTGGACGGCCACAGGCAGAGAGGGGCTGCTGCAGGCCTAGGGCAGCGACAGTGAACCTTTTAGAGCTTTCAGTGATAACAACTAGCCCACCGCAGCTTGCGTCCTGCAGGTTCAACACCACTGGCCTGGAGTAAAGGGAGCATGTCAGAAAGAGGTGCAGAGTGGGAAGATGAGGGGGCTGGCGGTAGACCCCAGAAATGAAGCCAACTACCAAGCACCTGCTGGAGGAGAAGGCCAAGGACAAACAGCGAGGGTAGTTAGCCATGGGAAGAATTCACAGTGGACCCTGGCATGTCTGATGGGCTCAGTTGAGCCATGGCTGGAACCCCTACCTGTGAAAAAGGGAACAAGTCACTGAAATGGCCAGCTGTCCTCTATACATTAGATGTCTGACAACTGTCTCCCAGCTGCCAACAGCTGGCCAGGCCTGGGGATAGGTGGGGCTGTGCCTGGGTTCAGCACCCCCAGACCCACAGTATAGCATCCAAAGTCCTGCTCAACCCTTCTTCCTAAAGCAGTGTCCATCCAACTACATTGTCCCAAGGGCTGAGAGTTTAGGATGACTTCCTGTGGAGCCTTGCCAACAACTCATTAATGAGTGTCTCTGGCTTGTGCTGATTCTTGCAGTATGGTGGTCTCTGGATCATCCTGCGATCTCTAGGACATGACAGAAGGGGCCACTTCCTATTTTAGAGGTGAGGCTATCAGTGGTAGAAAGGAGAAGTCATTTGCTGAGGTTGGAGCAGGTTATAGTTAGGAATCATTTGCAGAAGCCCGTCTGCATGTTCGGCAGAGAGTTTCCATGGTTACAGACTCCCCACACTCTACGAGCGCAGAGGCCCTGAGCCCCGTTCTTTCTTCAGCAAATGCACACCCCCGCGAGCCCGCTGCCTGCTCACCTCCTCCGCACTGCACGCTGCACCCTTCCCAACCGCTGTGGGTCCAGAGGAACAAGGCGTCTTGCGGCTTGGCAGGTTCGCTCTCATTTTCAGCACTAGAGTTCACAGGAATGGTGTATTCATAATGAATCCCATAATTCTGGTCATGAAACAGCAGCACCTGCAACAATGGGAAGTGAGAAGGCCATGTTGAGATAGACCAAGAGGCCACCAAGTTGTCAACTCTCACATTATGACTATTTTTCTAGAGGGAATCAGCTCTTTTCTGGGGTAAAAATGTGTTCCATCTAGGGGTGCTCCTTTAGCTCAGTTGTGGAGCCCTCAGGTACCCAGTTAGGGTGTGGGGCGAATCAGAGAATTCTCTTCTTTCCTATGCCAGAGGACCAGTTCAGATGGGCAGCCCTTGGCGGCCCTTTTCCTAGAGAGCTGTTCCATGTGGGAGAAAGCACACATTCCAACGTGCAGAAGAAACTGCACTTGTAGCCAACGAACATGCAAATGGCTCACTTTTCCTAGACAGACATCTGGGCAAGCAGGGTGTCTCTGCACCTTTGAAACTAAGCACGCCACTCACAGCCCAGTCACAGTCACTGCCACGCGAGTTGGTGCAGCCGGGCTCAATGGCAACATACAAGACACCGAAGGGACTTTGGGGGCCATTTGGTTGCAAGCCCAAAGAAGTGAGAGCCTTTCTACTGCCATGAGAGTTGGCTCTTAAAGCCAAGTAGGGTAGAGGTGCGGAGACGGGGTCCTGTCGTATTTCGTGGGGGCCACCCTGTGGTTTGTGAAGGCCTAGTGAGTGTGCAGAATCCAGGAGGCTGTACAGCCTGGGACTGCCCATGTCAAGCCCTGGAGGGCCACCAGGTGCACCCCGGGCTTTGTTTCCCTAGATATCATAGGGCACAGCAAGCCCTCCCATAGGAAAACTGAGTTGGTGTGGCGGTGCTTGGTGTCTCCAGGCTAAGCTTGAGGCCAGTGAGGGCTCCCGGTGGAGCAGCTAGCAAGCATGTTTCCAGGCCCAGGAGGGGGGCAGCATGTGGCCTGCCTACCTAGACTTCAGCAGGCCAGGTCAGAGGTATGCCACCTCCCCACCTTCTCTCAGGGGCTTCCAATGCTGGGTTGTGGGGGAGGAGAAGCGCTAGCAGCAGACCCACTGCATGGAGATCTTCAGCAGACTTGCACTAGAGCATCTGGAAAAGCGCTTCCAGTTTTCTTTTTTTTAAAATTAATCTTTAAAAAGAGATCTTTATTAACTCAGAGTGGGGAATAGGACTGGTGGATGGAGAAGCCATATGAAACCAATTTGGTGCAATTTTGTAGCCACGTTTAATTTTGTGTGCATGTGTGTAATTGGTTTCAAATGCAGGTCCCCCGGACTTCTGCTGCTCCTCATACTGCGACCAACATGCAAACCACTTTAGGGACAATGGCTCTGTATAGAGAAGCAAGGGGGCATCCCGGGTATCTAGGTTTAAAGCAATCATATTTCAAGAGAGGAAAAGGATCAATATTGAACAAGGGCTGAAATTCCAGCCAAGCAAGACTTACTCTGAGTTTTTTGACCATATTCTGAATGACTCGAGGCCGGGTGTTGGGCATGTGCTTTAATGGGCTGACAACCTGCTCAGTTTACAAAAGCTTTTGGTAAAGAAGGAAAACATGCTCCCCCTGGAGCTTGCTAGGGGGAGTAAGCTCCCAGGCGGCAGGTGATGTTTCCTATACAGATTTTACTTTGTCTTTTGCCTCCTCTCTTTGCCCTTCTAGCTATCTGCTTCTAGCTCAGAGTAGGATGACTGGTTCTCATGGCGTTGACCAGGAAATAACTTCATCCTCTGGCACAGATTCTTGGGTCCCAGAAATCTAATTGCAGGAATAGCATAGCACTGGATTTAGTGAGCTTAGGCCTGCATTGGTAGTTTCCACGGAAACCGGCTGGCTTTTGTTTCACTAGGAACTATAGAAGGTCAACACTCTCGTGGGACAACACTTGTCCTGGTGCTGGAGATCAGGGGCAGCTTCAGGCGACCTCTCTGGGCCGCGGTCAGAAATGCTTTAGGTGTCACCAAACCTTGAACAGCTGCAGGTTGCCAGAAACCACAAATGAAGGGGAGAAAGAACTTGTAAGTAGGGACTCTGGCAGCAACTGGGAACAAAGCATGCTTTGATGACAGGTGCATGGGCTGCCACAAATTCTGCTCTTGGAAGGAGACAGGAAATGAATAATGATCAATAATTAAGAGCTATCAGAAGTTAGCCGTGAGAACTCTTGAAGCCTGAGAAAGAAACAGTGGGATGGCTTGCCCTGGAGGTCTTTCTTATGTTTGAAGGGGAATGTGGGCTGGCAAGATAGCTCAGGGCTGGGAGATAGCTCACGGGCTGGTGAGATCGCTCAGCAGTCTAAATCGTCTGCTTAGGCAATGTCCCCAGCACCACATGCTGCACTAGCCCTGTCCTCAGGGTGGGCTAAGCAAGCCAAAAAAAGGGTTATGATAGCCAATGTTTAAGTGGCCTGTACTGAGTTCTCCAGGAAACCCTAGCCACGCCCAACTACTCAATTGGCTGGAGGCCACCTGGGAAGTAAATACACCACAGAAGCTGATTCTCCTTCCTGATTCCCACATGCTTCTCATAAGCCGAGCCTGGCAAGGCAGTGTGGTGCTGATCTAAAGCCTACCAGTCCATTTCCAAAAGATAACGTTTTATTTTGGAACAATGTACTGCAATAGCTGCTGTAAGAACAGACTTTGAATAGAGCCGTCTGCTCAACGATGCCAGCGCTGCTTCGCTGTCACTTGTGCGGCTGAGCATTTCTTTCTTGGGGACAGCTCCTTTTGAAGAAGATAAGCTGTCTTCAAAAGCAGCGCCAGGAGGTGGCTTCAAGGGAATCCTGAAGCACTGGGATGGAAAGGATTAGATAAGAAAAGGAGGGAGGAAACAGTGGGCACCCCGTGTACCTAGCACGTCTCCTGCCTCCAGGGTCCCTGGAAGAAGTAACCCGAGTGCGCGAGCCCAGCAAGTTACCATCAGATGCAGGGGTGTTTTGGTTGGTCCTTTGGCAGAAATCTTCTCCCACAGACCCCTTCTCACGTAGCGGACGGTCGTGCCTGCGATCTGAAACTCTCCCGGGAGCTCTATCTTCCAGTCACTGTTGATGGATCTCTTACTGGAGTCTTTGAGGGCTGGCAAGGAAAGTGAACACTGAGGAGCCGGAGGGTGTGGACGGGGGTCAGCCAGTCCATATGGGAATCCAGGTGTCCCTGTGGGCCAGAGGCCTCTCCTCCTTGGGGGCTGCAGGGAGAAGAGAGCTCCCCCTGCAGTAACAGAAGCCCAGCGCACAGGGAGCCAAGGGCTCTGGGCTCACAAGAGAGGGCGCTGCTGGGGTGGGTGGAGGCCCCTTTTCAATGGCCGCTGGCCTCCCCAGCAACTCAAGCAGGCCCAGAAGAACGGAGTTAACCATGGCCCAGTCACACTGCTGTCTCCTTACTCAAGAAGAGGGGCTTTTGCTTGGTAAGTTAATTCCGCTTTAATATGTCTAAAGCTATAAAACTGGTTTTGCCATGTTAGCAAAATTCATCCACTCATCTAAACATTTTTAAAAATGTGACCAACCTGTATTAATTGTACATTTTATTTGAAGTCTGTGTATTATTTGAACACAGTGTGTACTGATCAAAGGATGCCCTCCTCTCCACTCCCTTGTGCCCCCTGATCTCTGGTCCCCACTATTCTGTGCTCAGGTCAGTGTTGTGTTGTTTCTTAAATGTCCATGTATGGAAGAGAACATGATTTGTTTCTCTCTATCTGGTTTGTTGACTTAATTTAATGTCCTCCAGTTCCATCCACTTTGCTGCAAATGACAGGTTAAAAAAAAATAAAGTAAATAATCAGAACAGACACTTCTCAAAAGAAATACACATGGCCAATAAATATAAGAAATAACACACAGTATCATTCGACACCAGGGAAATGCAAATCAAAACCACAGGTGAGAAGTCCCACCCCAGTAAGAATGGCCACTATCTAAAAAACAAAAGCAACAAATGCTGGCTAGGAAGTATGTTATCCATTGGTGGGAATGCAAATCTGCCCAATCCTTATGGGGACAGTGTGGAGGTTCCTTGAAAGACTGAAATAGGTCACCCTTAAGAGCTAGTCATTCCACATCTGGATATGAATCCAAAGGACATGAAGTCAGAATCCAGTGAGCTGGGCCAGGGAGATAGCTCAGTAGAATAAGTGCTTGCCTGGCAAGCACAGGGTCCTGAGTTCAATCCCAGTACCACAAGAAAAAAAAAATCCAGGGGGTCACTTGCACATCCACACCTCTGTGGCATCCTTCACAGCCACTATGCTGTGGAATCAGCCTTGGCCCCAATCAAGGGGGGAAACAAGAATAACAATGTGCTGTACATATACACAATGGGGCTCTATTTAGATATAAAAAGAAATGAAAACATCCATTCATTTCTCTAGTCCCTACCTGGGGCTTTGAAAATAGGGCACCCTAAGGCCACCCTCTCCTACAGAGCTGACACTTCACACTGATGAAGTGGCTGCTCCTTCAGGAATCCATTGTTAGTTCATTAAGTACTTATGCTTGGAGACCCGGTTACTAACAGGGGGCGGTAATCTTGGCCGCTGCTGGGGGGTACAGAGGGGGTTACAGCAGACAGCTGCGCTCACTCCAGCCCCGCAGGTTTCGGGCCCCGGCCGCTTGCTCACACCTCTGCTTAGCACAAAACATGGACAGACACACAATCCACACACTGCTGATTGGCCAAAAGCACAGAACAGGTTTTCGTTTATCTTCTCATTTGGATTGAAGTTCTACGCTTGCTTAAGGGGGACAACTGCAGTGAAATCCTGCTTGTTTTCTTAGTGTTAGGTAGGAAGAAAACCCTGCAATTAACTGGGACACATCCTGGTATTTAGGGGAAGGTAGCAAATGGTAAGAGGCCATGCTTGTGTCATTGCTAGAAGCCCCGAGGGCGCCCTCTGTCCTGGGCCCAGCCTCTGCATGTACAGCTGGAGTCACCGATGCTCCACATTTATTCATGTCCCCCTGGAATTCCACCCAGTATACAAGCAGCAAATCCAGATCCTACTTCCCTCGCTGAAGTCGGCTCAGGCGGCCAGAACTCAGATGCCCCCTCTAGTGTCAGTTTTGGGTACTGAAACTCCAAACCAAGGTAGCAATTCAGTTGAAGCTGGAATTTTCAGCCTCAGGGTGGGTTAGGACCCTAAGATTTAATCCCTGCTCAGAACAGAGGGAAGCTTGGTGGGCACTGGCCTTGGTACCTCATCTCGAGAATGCTCTGGGAACGACAAGCACAAAGCAGATGCAAGCTCAGGGCTCCTCCACCAGAGCAGCTCCCAAAAGAAGCGGGCAGGGCCACTCTCCAGCACAGCGACTTCCGGTTGGGGTTTCCACCTAGGGTGGCTGTGCACGGTGAGTGGTTAAGGATTACAGGCCTTCAGGGAAGGCTTAGGAAAGAGAACGCTCTTCTACTTGGAACTGGATCTGTTTCCCTTCAAGAAATTCTACCCGTGACCGAAATTTCCAGCCTTCCTAAGAGGTGAAAATGTGGGGAGACTCACAATTTCTTGTTTTTCTCTTTCGACATTGTCACCTGCAAACCACTTTGTAAAGAACACGTTTTCTGGTTTAACTTTTTGATATAGTATTACCCATTTAATCTTCCCCATAACCCTCTGGATTACTTTCCTCACTCAGATGAATAAATGGAGGCACAGAGAGATTATCTTGCCAAAAGACACACAGCTATGAAGTAGTAGGGGTGGAGAGGGCAACCTTGGAGACCAAGTGCAAAGCAGTCGCTGCCCTGGCACCTTTTAATTCCCACGTTCTCTGGGTCAGGGCAGCAGTCTCGACTTTCATGGCAGTGCTGACATATGCAAGTAGAAGACCTGTTTTCAAGGACCACATTCCAGGTTCTGAGTGCTTCTCAAGCTCTGCATGCCCTGCAAGGGGAAGGGCTGGGAGCAGGAGGTAAGAAACGAGGGAGACAGATCCCCAGAACACCCCAAGAGCACCTGAAGTGCGTTTGCTCAGGCGAACTCTCAGGGAGGCCAAGAGCAGGCGGTAGAGATCCCCACTGTCTTCCAGCTTCGCTGCAAATCTGGAAGCGTGTTTCTTACACACGCACTGTACACTGGCTTGAGGAATCGGTGCAGGCTGCTGGGAAGCAGCAGACAGGAAAAAAAGGGCACGGAGTCCTCCAAGAAAGTGGGAGCGGTGGTGCACGCCTGTAATGCCAGTGACTCGGGAGGCTGAGGCAGAAGGATGGTAGATTCAAGCCAAGGCTGGGCAAGTTATCAATAGCCTGTGTCAAAGCCAAAAAATCAAAGTCTGTGGATATAGCTCAGTGGTCAAATGCTTGAAAAGCATGCATAAGCCCTGGGATTCAGTGCCTAGTACTGCAAAAAGGGAAGGAAGGGGTAGGGAAGAAGAGGGGGGGAGAGAGAAGAAGGGGCGGGAGGGCAGGTAAGGGGAGGGGGACGGGCTAGGGAGAGGAATATGGGAAGAGGGGATGGGGAGCTTAGGAGGAGGGGAGTCTCAAATGTATGAGCTGGGGACACATAGCACAGAAGAAGGACCCTGCCAACCCCTCACCCTCTTCTTCGGGTCTCCTGGCAGGGCTGCTGATCAAGAGCTCTTGCTGTCAGGAAGCTCAATTTGGAAGGGAGACAGAAAACAGAAATATGATCAACGTCACACGTTCTGGCAGAGGTGAGTCGGGCCTGGGCAGCGTGGGCAGCGTGGGCAGCGTGGGCAGCAGGGAGAGGCAGCCGGGGAGAGTGCTTGGGAAGAAGCATCATGAACAGAGCTGGTCAGACAGGCAGAGAGAGGAGGCAGCCTGGGGCACCTACAGCCATTGGGCAGGAGCCTGGCTCCTGCACTCAGGGACTATGGCCATCTGGTCATGGCCACTGTCCCTGCAGAAAGAGGAAGGTGCAGGGCCCCAGGGCAGCAGCCAGTGCAAGGGGAAGGGCTGGGAGCAGGAGGTGAGAAATGAGACAGAAGCTGCTGGAGAGAGAATGCTGCCCTGACGCTGGGCAGGAGGCACCAGGGCAGTGGCTGTGAGCAGGATGTCACTGAGGCTGGGTGCCACCCTGTCACACCTGGCCCACTCCACTGAACCCAGTGACCATGCTAAGACCACAGGGGAGCTGGGGCAGCTGCCCACCTACTCCAGACAGCAGCTACCTGCCACCCATACTCATGAGCTAACCCCAACCTTCCCTTCCCTGAGCTGGGACTGCAGGTTCAAAGCCACAGCCCTGACTCGATCCCGTTATGGCCGTGCTGGGTGCCGAGCATACTTGCTAACCACTAATGAGCATCTGTTTCCCCCATCAGCCCTAGCTCCTGAGTCTCCCTGCAGGTTGCTTTCTCCCCAGTCCTACGAGGCCTTAATTCCACCCCAGCTCCGTACCTCAGCTACCCCCTAGGCAGAAGCTTTTATTAGGCTTCCCCAGGGCGTGATGCAAGTTGCTCCATGGGAAGAGGCTCTGGGAGAGGCTGGGGTCCCAGGAGAGTGAAACTTTAAGCTCCTGGGTCCAGCAGTACCTGCAGCAGATGCTCAGCAACTGAGAACTGCTTTGTCCTTCACCTGCGCCCTCTGGGGGCTGGTTTTCTCAAGGTACTCATCGCAGGAGGGCAGAACAGGTGGGAAAGAAAAACCACTTGGTGGATTCCCACAGATCACCGCCTGGCTTATGACATAAGCCTAGTAGCTGCTGAGACACAGAATGCCTGACAAACTCTGGTCGTGCCTTAAACTCTCCTGGGCCATCCTGCCTATAACACTCTTACATGGTAGCTTTTTCTTGCTGGCACTGTGTGTACAGTTCTCTGGCCCTTTTTGCAAGATGCCTTAAACTGACTTACTGAATTATAAACTGACAACTATGCTGCTGTTTGGAAAAAGTCAAACATCTGGGAGGCCAGGAGTGGGAAAGGCTGGAAGGAGCAGGAGGGCACAGCTGGAGACCATTGGAGAAGTCCCTGCCCTTGGGAACCAGCCCAGAGGTGAGGACAGTGAGAAAGCCGGCTCCGCCACAGGACATGTGGCCATGGGGGGGGGGGGGCAGGCAAAAGAGGCAACCACAAGGCAAAAGGAGGAGGTGGCACCTGTGTGGGCCAGGCTGCGCTGTCCTCTGATCAGCCAGACAGGGTCTTGCCTGTCTGTACCAGGGTGGTGGAAGAGACACTTTGCAGGTGGCCTGCACTGCATCAGAGGGCTGTGGAGGAGCTGCAGACTGTTGGCAAGCAATTACAGGACAGGCCTGAGCGAGGTGGGTTTTGGCTAATGGGCACATGGTAGCTGCTGAGCAGGGGTGAACATACTAGACCTCGTAGGAGGTGTTAGCCCCTTGGCAGCATATGCTGCTACCCCAGGGAGCCACTCCCTCACCATGGTGGGGTTCAAGGCATCCCCTGCCATCAGGTGCAGGAGTGGGAAGACGTGCGTACCAATGGCAGCACAAGGCACCCACCAAGTCCCAAAGACGTTTGTCGGGCCAGGGAGATAGCTCAGTAGAATAAGTGCTTGCCTGGCAAGCACAGGGTCCTAGGTTCAATCCCCAGTACTGAAGCGGGGGGAGAAAAGATCCAAAGAGATTTGTCTCTGGTTGGGAGGTGCTGGGCTGTAGCTGTGGACTGTTCAGTGGTTGCAGGGATGGGCAAACTCTTGCGGTTCTAGAAAGGATAAGCTCTATGTACCCAACATGGTTACAACTACCTCCCTGGCAGCTACAGGCTTTCGGGTACTATAACCACTGCCTTACAACTGCCTCTCAGCCCTGGAGTGCAGAGTGGCAGTGCCCGCTCCCATGGCAGCCGCCCCTGCTGATACTCATTCCTGCATGTCTCAGCAAAAGAAGACAGAAGGAGAATTAAGAGTAGGCCACCAGCAAGGAGGAGGAGGTGAGCTCCAAGAGGTACAGGTTGCTTCCATCCCTTTGGGCTTTGCAGGAAGTAACTTGGTGAAGTTCGCATGTTCCTACGGTCCATGCTAAAAAAGCCAGAGCTTATTGCTAAAACCAAGAATTTAGCACCTAAAATTCCTTCAAAAATGTGCAACTTCAGAGAGTCTGTTGGGACACTGTAAGATGCAAAAATATTTTTAATTGGTCTGTATTTCATTAGTCACTCAAATAAGCCCTTTTTCTTAGATCTAGCTCAGTCAGGGATCAGAGAACACCACACAGGCTGTACAAAGACTCCCATCCGAGATAAGGTTCTGGGGTGAGAGAGAATTGCCGTGCAAGTTCTTCCCTCAATCCTGGGCAGCCAAAAGGCTAAAAATAACTACAAAGAAAAATACAGAGGGTGGGGTGCGACAGGTGTCGGGTGAAGCTGATGGCCTGGGACAGACTGGAACCTGGATTCCAAGCCATGGGGCACAGCAAGAGATCTGCGCATAGGAATAGACACACAGCTCAGTGGACGTGCGCCTGGTGTGTACGGGGACCACCAAGAGCATGGATCAAAGCCTCCATACTTCGCTGCCTCTGGAGTCCAGTTGCTGTTCTTGGTTTGGAAGTAAACTTATTCCTACAGCAGTATGATCATTTGTAACAGCGAACAAACAGGTTCGATGTGGGATCCAGTGATCCTCTGACTCGGGGGTTTGTCACCTTCTGTCCCCATCAGTGGCACTGGGGCTCTCTACCGAGCAGCGTTTGCCAGAACCCATGAGCCTGTGGCTCCAGAGGACCTCTATGCGCGCAGCTTTTTCTCAAAAGTCCTCCACATTAAATAAATGTGAGGTTCTGCAATTTCTGTCCCACTCCACTCTGAGACACTGGAGGTAAATTCAAGCCCCCTTTGTCTTAGGAATTTTGAGATCAATTAATTTGCATTGGAAATTAGCATTCAGGGACCCAAAATAGACTCAATGGAAGTGATCAAGATGATTATAAATGCTTTGATTTCCTAGGCGAATCACAGAGCTCAGAACAAAAGGGCTTCCTCTAGCAGCTTCTTTTTATTTGTGACATCTGAAGTGCTGATTTGCTGTGGGGATTTTGCCTGAGCCAGGGGTTGGACGTTTTAAGTGACTGTTCAAAAAAGTTGGGGACATAGCTCAGCAGCACAAGCACAAGTGCTGCAAGGTCCTGAGTTCGATTCCTGGAACCAAAACCAAAGCAAAACAAAAAAACAAGCCCGGCACTGTGGATGGCGGACCATGGCATCTCGTGAGAGCGGGCTGGAGGCAGATGTGCACCCTGCGCCTGCCCACAAGCCTTCCTCTGGCATGGACCTTGGTGGGTCTTTCTTTGCCTGGCTTCCTCCTGGATTCAACAGAAGACCTGACCCACAGTCAACCTACTTCTACTCCTGGCATCAGCTCAGTTCCTTTTATTTCCACTTGGAGTCCTGCCACTTCTGTTGAGTATGGATACACACTGCAGAGGCATTTCCTGTTCCAGGTGGTTTACAGCAGAAAGCCAGCAGACGTGGGCCGAAGGTAGGTGGGGTGAAATTCTTCAGGAACTGCTCCCAGCAAATGTGAGAGTAATTCAGAGTCACACTGGGTTGACTTCCAAAGCACCCAGCCCTGAATGGAAACAAGGCCTGCTGCAACTAACTGTAGAAATATAAGGAGCGTAGAGCTCTGTCGGGCATGCGCTTGTCCATGTTCCAGGCCTGGGAATACTAGAATTAAGATTTTTGGATAAGATAAGAGGACCAAGTCTGGTTCCAAGCTCCCATAGAAGTACGTTGCTTCTGGGGAATTCGAGTTCCGAGACATTTAAACCAATCCCCTTGGGAAAGAGTTGTGTTCTCTGTGGTAACAGTGGGAAGCCTCAGAATGTGTTCTCCAGTGACAAATCTTCTCCACCTCTCTCTTGCCCTGATGGGACACCATGCAGCAATTCTGCAAAGCCTGTGGCACACACAGGCACCGTGAGGGCTACGCTCTCGGGGTGCTACCATTGCTCCCTGTGTGGTGACAAGCAATCCTTTGGAGCACCTCTGGGGGTAGGAGGGAGCTGATCTCTAAAACACAGCATGGCCCAGTGGTCAGGAGTCACCACAGTGGCTATTATTGTTCTCATTAGCATGTGTGGTGCTTAGGCTTTCGAAGAGGCAATCAGTAAGAGCTAGCTGTCCGAGGCAGCATCCAACAGCATTACCTGCTGATCCTAAGGAGAGTTCGTTCTAGCGACACGTTCCTTTTCACCAGAGAAGTGAAGTGAAGACTTGATTCCACTCTTGCCGCAGAGAAGCAGATAGAAAGAATACCTTTCCTTTTGCTTCCAGGCCTCTACGCAGGACTGGGATCAGGCCGAGGAATTGTACTAGGAAGACTCAGAACCCAGGCTGGAAGCCGGGGGTCTTATCTGCAGGGGCGTCTGCTGGTGCTGTACAGTGGAACCCCCAGTAAGTTGGTCTCAGAACTGGGCCAGCACTCAGGATAACCAGATAGTGATTTTTTAAAAATAAGACAATAGGGAAAGGTAGCTTCAGGCTCCCAGGGAGGCCTAGTGCACCCTGGGACTGGAAATGCCATGCATGTCCCCAGTGGACCAGGTATAAAAACTAACATTTGGGGTGACTCTAGGTGACAGGGCTTCTGATGTGAAGGCTGATGAAGTGAACCCTATTTCCTGGGCAGAAAAAGAAGGGGCGGGTTCTGTGAGAATCTAGTAAAAAGATCACCCCTCCAAGGAGGCTGCCATGTGCGGCATAAGGCCGTTTCAGATCGCATTTATGAGCACTGTTGTGTTGGTAGAATAGTAGCTAGGATAGAGAAAGAGATCTCCTTCCCTCTCTCTCTCCTTCCCTCCCTCCCTCTTCCATCTCACATGGCACCGTGCAACACAGGCTGAGTGATTACAACACAAAGGAAGTGCAGGAGTAGGGGTGCTGCTGGTAGATCAGCCCTCTGAGGCAGGTCAGGACCAGGGATAGGGCTTGGCAAATGGGCACAGGGTGCAGCATTTCCATCCCAGTGAACAAGAAAGAGGTAACTCTGGGTACTTCTATCTTCTTTAGCCTGAATAATGAATATTCATGAGTTTGACTCAATGCTTCAACCTCCCTGGTGCTGGGATCCCAGGCTGCGCCTGTGGGGTCAGTAGTGACTTGGAACTTGAGCCTTCAGTACCTGCAGGGTCTTCTCTAGCTGGAAGAGGTTTTGCTGGGTGATTCTCTCACTGCGCTCTAACCATAGCTCTACCATGGAACCCAGTTCCACAGAGGGATCTAGGTGTTTGAGCATAAAGCCAGAGAGGTTAGCAGAAATTTGGGGTGCACAGAACTTAGTGAAAATCAGCATTGTTCTGCATTTTTGTGTGTGTGTATGTGTGTCTTTTTGAGACACGGTCTCACTATGCAGCTCAGGCTGGCCTTGAGCGCTCTTTGTAGCCTAGGCTGGTCTTGAACTGGCAACTATCCTCCTGCCTCAGCCTCCCGAGTGCTGGGATTACAGGCACGCGCCACCATGCCTGGATTATATTTCTGTTTGATTTGAGGCTGTTGCTCTTTTTCCAGCAAAGAGTCACCCCCGATGTCATTGAAAGCATGCAGGGGGTCCATGAGGCTCGGGCAAAGGACTGCCACTGCGTTGGTTAAAGTTGCACTGGGTCCTCCAGGGTGATTTTGGGAAACATGCTACCCCAGTGCTCACGGCTTTTTATACTCTCCCATCATCCTCTTTCCTGTTCATTGCTGGTGGTTCTGATGGTTTGTGCCCTGTCCCTCAGACCCTTTGGAGGTGGCCACACTTAGCCACAGGGGACAGTGCTGTTTGGCCATTCTGGGCACTATGTCACTACAATGGAAGTACAGTATAAAACTGAGTGGACCTGGGAGAAAAACGGTGAACAGAAATCTCCTAGCTTCATTATAAAAGTCAACTGTCAAACAGCAATTGTAAATCAAATCATTTTTGTTTTACCCAGAAAACTGTGAGCAGGTTTATCTTCTACCACGCGAATCCTCCGAGCTCCAGCAGGAATAACAGCAGCTTCGATGTAACCTGCAGCAACAGATTACATATGGGTAAACCACACCCCCAGCCTGGACTGGAGGCCCACAAGGCTCTCCCCTTCCCCAGGTTCCCTTCTCACACCAGCTGTGGCAGGTTCAGAGACTGCAGATTGGCAGGGCTCTGCAAATCCAATTAGCCAACTAATGTGGAGTGCTTTCTCCCATGGCCAGGAATTCTTGGGCCCCCGTTTTCCTGAGAGCACCACTTGCATGTGTTCTAAATTGAATTAAGACCACCCTCCTTCCTTGGAATTTATAAGTGGAAATCCTAACCCCCAGTACCTCGATGTGATCTCATTTGGAACTAGCGTTACCTCAGATGAATCTAGTTAAGATGAGATCATACTGGAACAGGAGGGGCCCTTAATCCACTAGGACAAATGGCCTTTTAAAAAGGGGAAATTTGAAGACAGACATGTACACAGGAGAACACAGGAGAACCTGACAGCGAAGACTGCAGTGCTACTTTTTCTAAGCCAAGAAACGCCAAGCATCCCCAGCAAACCACTGCAAGGCAAGAGAGAAGCAGGGAGCAGATTCGCCCTTGCAGCCTCAGAGTGAGCCAGCCCTGTGGACACCACCACATTCCCAGCCTCCACCATGGCAAGACAAGAGGTTTCTGTTGTTGATGCCACCCAGGTTGTGGCCCTTTGCCACAGCATTCCTGGAAAACAAACACAGCCTGGCCTCCTTCATGAACGGTGCCTCCCAGGTGCTTGGGCGAGGAGTTCCCAGGTCTTGTTCATCCGCTGGAGGTTCCTTCACTTTTGTAGTTTGACTTTTTTCCAAAAATCTATAGAATAACAGCAAAGGCCGAGCAACTTGCCCTATGACCAAACTATTGCCTCAACCTGCTGTGCACCACTTCTGGTTTGCCTTCAGGCGTTGCCGTGACTCTCATAGTATATACCGTTGCCTGCTTCCTTCATTACTTCCAAGTAGATGGGGAGCTGCCCATGAGCTGGCAGTGCGTGGTGCCCAAGGCCTAACTATGTAGAGATTATGGAAATACCTACTTTAAAGGGTTTATTTCTCTAATAAAAATGTCTATGGAGATAATAGACACTTCAAATAACACTTGACCTCTACCATCACGCTAAGAAAATCACTCTTCAGAAAGTCAGTAGCGTATATATGAAATAATAATATCCTTTGATAAGGCTACCAGCTCACACCCCATCTCAGCTGTGTCATTATGGTTCAAGTGCTCTATGGTCTTCATAGTGCCTGGGACAAAAACAATCCAATCACCTCAGAAGTGGCACAAGAGCACGGCGTCAAGTACAGCGCTGCTTCCTGAGGTAAGCTCTTAGCACTCAGGGTAAGAGAGAGCTCTTAGTCTGACAGGCGACACCTGTCACATTCTCCCAGCAAACATCTCAATGAGAAGCATTGCTGTGAATGTTAAATATCACTGGAGAGAATATGCACCCTTGTTTGGTTTTGTATGACAATAAGAGTGATTATTTTGCATTTGAATATAATGTGGGCTTACATTATTTATATGGGAATATAGAATGGATAACATCTCACATGTAACACTGTTCATAGTATAATCATATTAATATTTATTGGTTACCACATTAAGAGTTTTATTAGGGGGAGGCTGTAAACAGGAGAATCACTACAAGTCTGATCTAGTAGTGAGACCCTGAACACCCTGTAGGCCCTTCCCTAAAAAATAAAATAAAATTTTAAAACCCCCCAAAAAAACTCCTTCTCAAAATTTGGGTCTGGGGAGATGGTTTAGTATAAAAAGTGCTTGCCTGGCAAGCGCAAGGGCTGAGTTCAATCCCTGGTTCTGCCAAAAAAAAAGTTTCATCAGGAATGCAGATTAAGTTTCATCATAGTTTGCCTCCACCTCTAAGTGCATGATTAGTTTTTCTCTTGCTTTAAGTACAATTATGTTTTCTAATAAGTATATTTTCTAATATCAAAACAACTTCATAGCACTAGAATAAATCTTACTTGGTCATTTTATATTATTTCTAGTATGATGTTGAATTGCTTCTGTTACATTTTGAATATTAATTACTTTATAACTTTTACAGTATCATTTGTAAGAATGGCCTGCGATCACTGTGTGTGTGTGTGTGTGTGTGTGTGTGTGTGTGTGTGTGTGTTACACTGGGTTTTGGTATTAGTATTATTCTTACTTTAGTAAAAATATATCTCCATTTCTTCAGTAATTCGTATTGATTCTCAATTTTCTGTAGAGCACACTGGGGAATTGTTTTTCCACTTGCTCCAAGCTAGTTTTAAATTCTAGTTTAAAGTACAAACTTATTTACAGTTAATTTCCTTTACACTTGATTTCCCTTTTACTTATTTCCTGCCCGCTCTTTTGTTCATAGATAGCAAGTAGCAGAGATGTGTGCTATTGAGTTCATTTATCTTCTGCTAAGGCAATTTCCACAATTGCTCTAGTCCTGGCTCTCATGATGAATTTAATGTTCATTATGTGTCCTTTTGCCAATTTTGCAAATGTTATTGCTTGTCTCGACTGTTCCCTTTGAAATAGACTTTGACATCAACTTTGTGGGCACCAGGGGCTTTCTGCTATCCTTCAGTATCTGCAGGGAACTGCTTTCCATAGGATAGTCTACAGGAATTACATTAAGTCCCTTAGGGAAGCCCGGGTACCATTTCCCTGTCACCTGCGCACATCCTCCTACATACTTCAAATCATCTCCAGATGACTTGCAATACTCAGTGCAATGTAAATGCTACACAAACAGTCAACTTTGAAAAGTACTGAGATAATTGGGTGTTTGTATGCAGCAGAAAGAAGCTAGACTCCAATCTCAGATCATATATACAAATTAACCTCAAATGGATCACAGATCTAAATATAGGAGTTAAAACTCTACATCTCTTAGAATGAATAAAACATGTGAGTAAATCTTTGTGATCTGGATTAGGCAATGGTTTCTTGGATTTTATAGAAAAAACACAAGAAAAAAAAAGAGAACTTGAATTATTCAAAATTTAAAACTCTGTGTTCAGAGGACATCATCCACAAGGTAAGAAAACAGGCCATACACTAGGAGAAAATATCTAGAAACAATTTATTCCATAAAGGATCTGTATCTAGAATATATAAGCAAAGCTAACAACCCAGGAAAAAAAATGATAAAATAACCCAATTTTAAAGTAGGCATAGTATTTTAATAGCTGTTTTTCCAAGAAGACATATACCTGGCCGCTAAGTGCATGAAAATATGTCTAGCATCAGTAGTCCCCGGAGAAATGCAAATCCAAACCACCAGGAGCTAGTGCTAGTAACAAGAAGAGTAAGAAGTACTGAAAAGAATGGGAAGAAACCGGGACCCTCAATTCAGTGTTCACTGCTAGAACAAAGGATGCAGTCACTTTGGGAAAGGCTTTGGCGATTTCTCAAAAAGTCAACATAGAATTACTGTATGGCCCACAGATTCCGCTCCTAGTGTATACACAAGAGAAATGAAAATAGACATTCACACAATAACTTGCATGTGTAAGTTTAGATCAGCACTAATTAAAGTGGCCAAAAAAGTGGACAGAAACTGGCCATCCATTGATGGGTGTATTGTAGAGTGTGGTCTACTTGTGCCTATCCAAATAATGCAGTTCTAGTCAACAATGGAAAGAAATGGAATATTGATACAGCTATGCCATGGATGAATCATGAAAACTAAGATGACGATCACAAAGGATCACACACTGCATAATTCCATTTATATTAAATGTTTAGAATAAGCGAATGTATCATTGCTCAGCGTTGAGTAAGAGTAAGTTGGGAAATAACTCACTGGACAAAGCATAATTCTGATGACGGTGGTACAATTTTGTACATATACCACATCCTACTTAATTGTACAGTGATGAAGTTTACAATGTATGAATTATGTCATTACAAAGATGTTACAAGTGTACAATACAGGAATGAGCATCGTGGAGCATGGCTCCCTGCATGCGGCTACGTACGACTTCTCAGCAGGGTAGCTACTCTTAGGAATCGCGCATCTAACACACGGGGCTTAAGGGGCAGCCCCATAAGTTGTGCTTCAGTGGCTTCATGAACGTGCGAGGCAGCCAACTGCGCATGTGTGTCCACAGAATTTGAGATACTTGAAATGAGTGATCCTCTTAATATTTGCTATCTAGGTACGACCCTGTCATGGATGTAATTTGCATTTCCCAGGTGAGGAGTGTGATCCAGCCACGTTCCCACTGACCACTTGCTTTTGCCTCTTCAGAGAAGGAGCTGGTGCATAACATTGGCCCGTTTTTCTGCCACTTTTTGTTTTTAATTTACAGGCAGGAGTTCTAAAACTACGGTTTAATAGAGTGACACGTATTTGATACATTTTGGAGCCAACCTCACTAGACTTGTCATAACTTTTTTTGTTATTTCTTTATGGTAAATTTTATCAGATGGTTCTGATACTCAGATCTCTAATTTTTATTTTATCAGATGGTTTTGATAGTCAGATCTCTAATTTTTGAGATCTCCTTGTTGTTTTTTGGAGTTTAAAAAATTAGTTTTATTGGTACCTTTTAGATATGATTACATTCATCATAGGGGATTTGTACCTGTACATGACGCATCTTGATTCTTTTTCCCCTCCCTTTCCTTCAACCTCTTCCCTTCCTGACAAAGGCTTTGTTTCCAGTCTTTTCTTCTATTGTTTTTTTTCTTTTCACTTTCTTTCCTTTCCCCCTTCCTGTCCCCTCATTCCCCTTCCCATTTGAAGATTTTCTTCCTATTTCCCACTCTCCTGTGTTTTGGCCCTTACACTTTCAGTTCTTCACACTAGAGAAACAATGTGATATTAAAACACGCTTGTCTCATTTATTTCACTTGAAGAGTATGGTCGGGAGGTGTATGCTTTACCTAGAAATGTCTCAAATTTAGCCTTCTTTGTGGCAGAATAGTATTCTGCTGTAGTAAAAAACACGTATTATTTATTCATTTTTCCTTTGATAGGCACTTGGGTTGCATCCGAGATTTAGCTATGACCAATTTTGCTGTCATAAACATGGGTGTTCATACATCACTGTGATATAATGCTGTTAATTCTTTCAGAAGATACCAAGAAGGGGAGCAGTTGGGTCAAATGGAACCTCTAGACTTAGCTTTTTGAGGGGTCTTCACACTGATTTCCACAGTAGTTGTACCAGTCTACACTCCCACCAACAGCAGAGAAGGGGTCCTTTTTCCCAGAACTCAGCCCAATCATTTCTTGATGATTAGATTTTTTTTCTTTCTTTCTTTCTTTCTTTCTTTCTTTCTTTCTTTCTTTCTTTTTTTTTTTTTTTTGTGGCACCAGGGATTGAACTCAGGACCCCGCACTTTCCAGGCAAGTGCTTATTCTACTGAGCTATCAGCCCGGCCCTGGATATTCTTTCTTAACAGCATCCTATTCTTGTCTTGTGGATGCAATCACATCTTATCACATCTCAAATCTTTAAGATAAAATATTATCACTTTTAGAAACAAATCCTTAATAGACCTTGTAAAATTCAATGCCATCTTTTTTTGGGCAATGGAGCAGTTTTAGTTTTCTCTTTCCCTTCTGTGTCACAGAAGGTCTTCTGCGGAAGCAGCAGCCGAGGATGGGCTGTCGTCTAGATGGCCGTGGCTTACTGAGCGGCAGGCCTGGCCTCAACACTGCGCTCCAGGGACCTGTTGTCACGTGTTGGCAGCCAAAGAGCCAGAACGCAGGGCAGAGTGCTGCAGGCCCTCGCTTCTACTTCCGGGTCTCTCTCTGGAAACATGGTAGGAATTTACTCCCGTGGCTCTTTGAACCTGTATGGCCACACGACTCTGTGAACAGTAATATATGAGTGAAAATGGCACGTGTCCCTTTGAGGCAGGACTTTTAGTAGCTTCAGGGCCTGGTCTGACTTATTTCCTTTCTCCTGCCATGCTGACTGTGGCACTGTGTGACCAGCCCCCGCCAGCCTCGGTTCATGAGTGACCACTCATTCAGAACCTCCTGCCAGTGCCAGAGGGCAGACAACAAAAGCAACTAACAAAGTCTGTGACAGGCCACCAATACACTGGTTTTAATACAGTGTTTTGTTTGTTTAGTGCTACAAAACTAAGGACGCAGATTCTTATTCAGGAGCCCCCCGCTTAAGCTATCTTTGTGCCGCTTGGACCTCTTAAAATTTTCCTTTGCTTCCATTTTCAGCTGACTTTTGGGATGATGAAGAAATAAGCGCTGTTCAGTCAGCCATCTTGGGCAGAAAAGTCACCAATATCCTTCAGCTGTGATAGCAAACTCCTTGGCGTTGCTCCTATAGATTCAGCTCCAGATGGTTCCAGTAAATGTTCTACTGGATGCTGAGGGAGACTTGTCAAATGTAAACAGAGCCCAGTTGGAGGGCAGCAGTTGCCTAAGTTTTCTGCCCTCATCTATCCTAGGCCTGAGGCGGGATGACTTTAACCGACTGTGTGGTCTTCCGTGTGTGATCCCTTTCACACGCGTCTAAGTTGGGAACTGCAGCACTGGCCTGACAGGCGGCCTGCACTCGGGCCGCACCACGGAGTTGCTTTAGGGCTTTTAATTAAATTTATTTTTGCTCTAGGAATGCTTCTCTGCTTTAAAAGTTTGGCAAAAACAATAACTCTAAGATAACAGCATGGGTTTTATGCCACAAATATCTCCTGGAGAAATCAATTCTCTCTGAGGAATTTGAAAAATTATTGGATTCCAGGCATATAAAATAGGAAAGCATCATAAACAGAGACAAAATGGTTCAGGGTCAAAGTAATTCAAAAAATGTTTTTTCAGAGGAATTTCCATTTCAACTGCCTGATGCACCTGGGATCAGGATCTACTTGTTGAGGTGAATTATTTTCTGAAGGGAGCTACTGTGGTGTAGAATCTTCTTCCCCTTTGTGACAAACACAGCTGAGCGTTAGCTTCACCAGTCTGCACAATGTGAGGCCACAACCGGAGCTGCCAAGGTCCTGATTCATTGATTTTCCACATTCGAGAGCAAGGTACATTTGCAGCAGTGCATGGTCAACACGTTTATTTTTAAGCTTAACTCTGGCACACGTTGCAACACTGAAATGACATCTGTTTTCTGTCTTCTTCTCACAGGCTTGGGGTGGACATGCCGAGCAGCGCAGTGCTCGGGGCAGGCGTGTGACCCAAGCAGGACTCATCCTTAAATGACCTCTCTGGGCAGAGCCGTCATGGTGGTGCCTCTGCTAAGCTCTCCTCTCATGATGAGTTTATTTTTCTTCTTGATATAGAGAGAATCAGCTAAAGAGAAAGTCCCTGAAAGGAAAGATGGCCCTTTCGTCTCAGAATCATAAAACTGCCTCCAACTCACTGTTCCCCAGGGTATCCTTATCCCAGGGCTCAAAGCTCACACTGGGTTGATCTGAAGAGCAACCAGGCAAGGAGAGAGTCCCATCACCAAGTCCCAAGAACCTTGTCAGTTCTCAGCCCAGATGCCCTACTATGTGGAGACTGGACACAACCACGCTGAATCATGCATGTAATAAAAGTTAACAAGATGACTTACTCTAAGAATTTACAAGCCAGGTTTTCATTGTAGGCAAGGGGGCAAGACATTATTTTGGAGTTCATTCAAGTCTCAAATGAAGAAGCAGGAGAAGTCTAGTAAGAGGGGCATGATTTGATTCCACAAGGCAGTCGTGGGTAGAATTCAAGATCCTTGCCATTGTGCTAGCAGACCAGGCCATGTTTGCGTTAAGGGCTAGCTGTCAGAAAAATCTTCTAGTGTTTTAAATCAAGTTAATATTACTAGAGTATGACGACATTTCCCTGTGAAATTATTTAACCAAATTTTCCCCAAAGGTTTGCTTTTAGATGATTGGTGGTCATATTTTTTCTTGTGCTCTCAATGGCATTAACTATAGTTGGAAGAAAGCCATTGACATTATATAATAGCATGATAATGAACAGGAAAGTTCTGGCTAGGTATACTAGAACTGTTTTCCCAGGTTGCATAAAACAATTGAAGAAAGTAAATGATTTTTTTTCCTGTAAATAAATCATAAGATATTCAGAAAGGCTTTTAAGTTTATGTTTTCCTCTTTTTATAAAAGTTGCTTATGCAACTATGCTTACAGATGTTCATGGACTTATGCTTGAGTCAGGTCCTGATAAACTCATCATAAATTGAAAATATCTTGATTCAAGACTGCATGTGCCATACTCAGCTACTGAATGCACGGCTTAGCATGCAGCACACTGCAGCACACTGCTCCTTTCCTGTCATGTGCACACGGCTCCTGGGAGCTACTGCTTGCTGCCACAACAGAGGATGCCTGACAGAGAATCAGACTGTGCCTTTTCGGCCTGGGGGAAGATCAGGCAAAGTTCAAAGCAGATTCTCCTGGAGGTGCATTGTTTCTGGATCATTCCTACACAGAAAAGTCATGAGCCAGAGCACCGTACATTGTGGCTGCTTCTGTCCGTGTCTTAACACCTATCACTAAAGGGTGTTCCTGGTCACAGTTAAGACAAACTCATAGCTTGGGAAACCCATATTGATAGACCATGTCTCAGTTCACTCCCTAGAATGTAATCCCAGAGTGCGTGGGTCAAATCAAGGCCACTGCCTTTACCTCCAGCGTGGAGGCCAGGCAGGCCTGACCAAGTGCCCCTCTGCCAACAGGGAAATCCTGTCCTCTGGAATGGAAACTGCCCACCGCCCAGAGGAAGCCTTCAACTGAGGCTATATTCTCTGGCATGTCTTAGCTTTGTCTGCCAAAGTGCCAGGCATGATTGAAGACAAAAACCCAATCTTGGCATACTAGGGCATGTTTCAGTCCAGCCTCTTGATCCTCAGACTACCTTTTTTTTAATATTTAAAATTAGTTTTATTTTATAGTTTTCTTTTCAGCCATCCATCTTGAACATCAGTTATATAAAAGCAGTAAATGGACCTTGTGTTTCCCTGTGGCTTCATGCATGACTCATTCCCATTGATTCTACTTAGAGAACACTCAGGCGTGTAAGTGCAAAAGTGCCCCACACCAAGCACATCACCAAGGGGACTGTGTGTAACAGACAAACATCTTACATGAGAAGCACTTGGGAACCGCCCTGGCCAGCACGCATGTGGACACCTTCGTACAAAGACTGTTCTTGACTGAGAAAAAGAAGTACGTTGTAATTGAGTTACGTGCATATTTTTAGGAACAGATACTGTCATTCTTAACTGGAGCAGAATGAGGCCACGTTCCATGTTCTCATCAAACATCCACACCCCACACGGAGACAGCATGGAACTTAGAAATGGCAGGCTCCCAACCTAATGACCGAGGCAACATGTGAGGCATGGACCTGTCTACTCCCACCTGTTTGAATAGCAAAGCACAAAGAGATGTAGAGCCAATGGGGCATCTGGTTGGTGCTTGGTAGGGACATCAGTCCAGGTGTGGCCAAGATGTCCATGTCCATTGGAACACCAAGCTGCGTCGATTCCTTCTAAAGCCAAAGCCCTCATCTGTTTAGACTTGGGAGGCCACAGTCTGGAGGGTAACAGACACCTTCTACTTGGGACACCGTTTCCCCAGATGCTGCCCCGGGGTGTCTCCTGACCCGCAGTGAGAACTGCTGGGCCTTCTGCTTGACTGTCTCTGACACTCACCCTGAGAGAGTTCATTCTAGATTCTCAATTCATAAACTCTGGTAAGAGGACTCACAAGAGTTCAGGCAGGGGTTAGGACTTCATACGACTGGGCAAATAGCCTGCATTCAATTTGGTTTTATCTTTGTGCTATGGTATTTCTCTTTGATAGTGACCCCGAAGGGTGATAAGATGTCCCTCCTTCCCTCATTCCCTGGCACTTGGTGCAGATGAAAGTTACCTTCCTATCTGTACTGACAGGATTATCGCAGCCACTCAGCTGGCTCGCTCAGATGTCAAATGACCTGGGTTTCTTTTTTTTTTTTTTTTCTTCAAGATTTTTAAAGCAAGTCTCCTATGAATGTGCTTTTCTCCTCCAGCCTTCATGTCCTTCCTGACCTGGGTCACTAGTTAATTTCTATTGGTCCCTCATGGCTTGAGGCTAGCTCGAGTGTCTGCAGGCCTGGATGAGGTGCCACATGAAGTATGGCACCAAGAACACCTCTGCTGAGCTTCCGCTATGCCACATCACAGGGGCTCATCCGGGGGGGTCTTCATGTTGGCTGTGATGGACATGTGACAGTGACCGTCCCTTTCTGTGTGCCTTGTGTTTAACATACATGGTACTTTGTGTTTAAGACACCACTTTGCACACACGTTTGTTAGGGGAATGGACTTGTGGACGACCCTTTGCCAGTCCCTTTGTCTACATTCATGCCAGGGGGTCAGACCCCGACTCCAGGTTTGTGTTTAACTGTATTCTGTCAAGCAGGCAGCCAGCCACCCAGCCACGTGGGAACAAATGCCACACACAGACTTCCGCTAAGCAGAGTCCCTGCTGACATGGCTTTTTGCTCACAGGCTCCAATGCTGAGGATTTGAGAAGAACAGCCTTGTGCTTTACAATGAACACCTGCCATTTAGTTATCACTGGGAATTTCAGAACATTTACAAGACAGTGACGCTAACACGTGCCTGTGTTTCTCCAAAGGAAGTTTCTAAGGCTTTTGTGCTTCCCAAGTTATGAGGAAGCATACTCTTAAGCTCCAAGTCACGGTGGGGACAGTGGTTACCCCAAGAAGGTTCCCCGCAGGATGTGTCCTTCCATGAAGGACCCTCTGCCAGGGCTATATAGGCCTGACCTTACCAAGCAGGAGGCTACACCTTCTAAACAGAGAGGAGGCCCAGCACAGGGTGAATGCAGGGAGAGAGGATGGGGAGAAAGGCTGCTACTGTGATAGGTGAGGGTGCTGCTTAGGCCAGAAGGCCAGAGAACAGTAGAGTTCTGGAAGAGAGAGGTCACTTTTACTCCTCATGTGGGGACTGGTAAATGAGTTGCTTAGGTGCATGTGGTGGAGATTTGTAAAGGTGTGTGGCAGAACCTTCTTCAGTGTTCAACTGAAGCGCAGGGGTGGGTATGACTGTGTTCAACCCATCTACCATAGAGTGGTGCTATTGCTGCAAGTCCGTCTATTGGAGCTTGGCATAACATTCAAATTAAATAAAGGGTTCCGATGCTTGTCTCTTTTTTTTTGGGGGGGGGGGAAGTAAAGGAATTGGTAACCCCTCAGGAAATGGAGACTTTTGTCCCAAGCTGCTGGCATAGTTCCAGTAGACAAGGTCAGAGTCACCTGGCCAACCCTGAAGCTGGGGTACTCGCACTGACCCTTTCATTAAGTATCATTGACAGATACCACTGGCTGTCACAAACTGGTGTCCTCCAGGGCAGGGGATCTGAAAACCTTGTCACTTCTAAACAAAGCGGCCTAAAGCTGCGAAGCTGGCGGGAACAGGAAGTCCTGCCAGATGAATGCTGAGGTGCTGCGCGAGGATGCGGCTTGGAGAGGCCTAGGTTTGGAAGCAGGCTCCTTGGGTGCTCTGGGGTGCCCGGTGGCAGAGGCATCTGAAGCTTTCTCGTGAACATTTTATAGCTGCATGTAGATACTATCTTAATTTAGCAACAGGAAATTCCAGAACAGAGAAAAGTGTGCCCACCTCTGAGTAAAAATGACGTGGAGGTGCCTTTGCCACCTTCTCTGCCCACACAAAAGATGGCCTGCGGCCAGGGATATAGCCCACAGGCACAGTACCCGCCTGGCAAGCACAAAGTCATGGGTTCGATTCCTAGTATCAAAAACAAACAAACCAAAACAAAATGAGATGGCCTGACAGGAAGCTGACGTGCAGCGAGCTAAGTGCCACTGACTCATGGAGGGTGCGGCCACGTTGCCCAGCTTCAGCAGCTGTCTCCTTGCACGGGGGCAAAGTGGGCACCTCTAGGAACTTAAACGCAGCCTTCCTCCTCGCCTTTCAGAAAGGAAATGGAGGTGGCGGCTCAGCAATCCGCTGTCACCTGGTCCTTAGATGAGAAAGACAGGGCTGCAGGAAGCCCTCAGCTCTGGGGCCAAGGAGGCCCGTGGAGCCGGTTCAGTACTCACCAGTCCCCCGGGAGTGGCTGAAGTCACCCTTCACCACGCGGCAGGTCTTGCCATCCCCATTGCAGACCCCACACCGGTCTTCCTTGGCTGCAGAGCCGATGGTGCCATCACAGCCAATTTTCTAGGGAACCAGAGGGCAGAGTTACTTTAAGAGTCGGAGGGATTCTAAAGCAGATGCCCCAAGGACTGATTTTCCATCAGGCCCAACAGGGACAGCGTCTGGGGCCCCAAACTTCAGAAGTTCGAGAAAATACTTTAATTCTTTTAAATTCAGAAGAGAAAATAAATGAATAGAAGGCATCTTGGATCATACTTAGTCTGTTCTCACATCATTCTTGAGAATTTTTTTTTTAATGTATTTTGTGCAGGGTCTCACTATGCAGCTCGGACTCAAAGTGATCGCCCTGTTTTCAGCCTCATCAGCACTGGGATTATAGGTGGGTGCCACCACGCCCGGACTTGGTTGCCAGCACAGCGCGTCCAATGCGCTACCTTGCCAGCCCTTCTCACATCATTCTTAACTACATATATTTCTAGCATATGCTTGGGAGGGAAGGGCCGCAGAGGAGTCCTGAAGACCTGGCTCCACACTAGGGCGGGTGAGGCAGAGGCCCTGGTAGGAAGTAAAGGGGGCTCCCATACACCAGCTGGAGTGGCACAATTTCCCATGACCAGTGTTCATGTTGGGGCCACGCGGGTCACCCGGTCTTGGCTGAGTAGCCAACAGTCTAAACCTACAGAAGAACCTACACTGGTGTCAGCTGAGAAGGGCAGGCCCAGAGCCCGTGGAGGCAGCGCCAGGTATGGGCCCTAGCCCACACCTAGGAGACCTGGTCAGCTGAAGTCCACGAGGCTAAAATCTTGTAAGTGATTTCTAGGATCAGAGGGAAGGCAGCCCCCACCCTGGGTGGGTCTGGGCTGCACAGCTGTAGGTTCATGAGTAGTAGGAACTAGAAATTACTGCTTTTCTCTACTACCACCCCCCTAAACAGATATACACACTCATGCATGTGTGTTGCATCTGGGGGACTTTTGTAATCTGCAAAGTAACCTGAGTTTACATTAGATAAAGACTGGGTGCTTATTCACTAAATTGCTTTCAATGTTCCTCTTTATTTTTGTCTAAGGCAAACCTTCCCAGAATAAAATAGCCCTGCACCCCAGCCACACACTGGTGCTTCAGGCTATAAAGGAAACCAGGCTACCAGGCTGAGCAGTTTAGCTCTTTCCCGAGCTTCTCAAGATAGGCACAGGCTGTGTGCTGCCCTCCAGTTCCACTCCCCATTCTGGGCAGGACTCGAGCAACGCCACATGGACAGCAGGTCTGTGGAGGCCAGTGCCAAGCCTGGGAGGTGCAGTGGACGAGGGGCCTCTGCTTCATCACGCTGGCCATGCTCTGACAGGCGGGGGCACCAGACTCATCGGACAGGCTGTTAAAACACTCACTGCTAAATCTCACCCTGGAGTTTCTGATGCACACAGCAGGGCAGGCCTGACTTTGCATTTCTAACAACTTCCCAGGTGATGTTGACAATGTTGCCCTGGGACCACCCTCCAGGAACCATTATACTTGTGTTTGCTAATTCAGATGGTTCGATGAGTGGTTTTCCTACTCAAAATTCCAGAGCCTTATCCTGAGATGTTTTGCTTCTTTGGGAAGCAATTAATGGAGAATTATTACTGTGTTCCCCAAAGGGGCTGGATAATTGAATATATTTCAGTAAAGACTGAGATGTAGTAAGAGCTGAGCTAGTTTAATCCACAAAACATCATTACAAACACTAGAAAAGGCAGCCTTTGAAAAAGGGATCACACTTGTGGCTGGTCAAGGGCAACCTTGGAGGTTTTCGTGGCCCTAGTCAGGTGTGGAGCCAGTGCATCAGAGTGGATTTTGTGGCACCTGGAGGTTAGGTGACATGCAAAGATACAGATGAAACCTGTACTAATAAAAACTGAAACACACAGATGTGAGTGGTAGTCAGCAGTGACACCGTGTTGGGCCAGACAGCCCTGTAACCTGGGGGACACCAGCTGTGACAGAGCTTCTTCATCTAGCCTCCCAGCTGCCACTGCCACTTGCTCAGTGTAAGCTCCTAGGGCGAAGCATACAAAGTGTCCAAGCACCGAAATCTCGCTCAAAGCAGAGTCCAGTAAATGTCCCTGTGCCGAGCCTGGGCACTAGGTGTGTGCTGCTCCGTGTGCTGCTTCAGAGCTCCACCGTCACGGTATCCAGACTGGGGGCCAGCCACAGGGTGACCACCACCACAGCTGCCCCCTGCGCTAGCTCTGCGTGGCCCTGGGACCCGGCCCCTGGGCTTTCCCACCTCTCTCAGGCGCTCAGAGCTCTACATCTTCCCTTCATAGGCTCCCTTTGATCTTCAAGACACATCTCTGTTCTGTCACTGGCGGTCTCGAACTTCGTGCCTGGCTTGTCTGGCACCTCAGGATTTCCTGATCAAACAACTTCTGCATACCTCACGTAGTCCGGGCAGCTTCTCCAGCTCTAATGTGGGGTCTCTTGTGAGTTATCTGCCTCTCCCCGTAGCCACACTGTTCCACAGAAGGTCCCTCAGCCAGTGCCAGTGTCTGGCCTGAGAATGTGTCCGATGAAGATCTGATGCATTAATCAACCACATTCCACTTGGTGCTTTCTGCTACATCTGCATTCGGTCTCTTATCAGCTCTTCACCAGGCCCCGTGCCTGGCAGTCAGGTTCCCCCGCATGCCTCATCCCCTAGCAGATCCTTAGCCACAGAGCACTGGGTCGTACCGTCTTGGTTTTCCTGTTCCACTACGCACATGCACAGTGGCTGGCGAGGTGCTGAGACGCAGCGCATCTTCAAAACAGGCATAAAAATGACGACTTCCTACCAAGATAAACCCTGAACAAAACTGGAAGTTTTAGAGACCTTGCTTTTGAGAATGGCGGCCCTGCCTTTTTTCTTTGGGACACTCAGGCATCGATTCCTCTTCTAACCTGAGGACACTTAGTTCTCTCAAACTTAGATGGGGATTTTCTTGCAGAGTTTTTTTTTTTTTTTTTAAGTGTATCCTACTTCAGCCTATTAGCACTGTCGACTTAAGAACAAACGATACGGACAGATATAGGTGGACATATACAGATAGGTTTTTTCCATGAAGTGAGTTCACTTTCAGTCTGCTATAATATCCACCCACACATCTTCACACTGAAAATGCAGCATTATCAAGCCTTACTAAATCAGAGTGGATTAATCCCTTTTATCTCCACAGTTCTTACAGTGTTTTCAGGCAGCTTCTGGAGATTTGCTTTGGATTACGATGTCTGTTTCCCTCTCACTTCTTTTGCACATATGAGGGGCAACTGAAATATATGAATGTTTAACTTTTGAACATTTATTACAGTAAAAGACATGGTGTCGTTAATCTCCCTCCAAGTACTCCCTTCCGGCTTCAAACACACCAACCCCATCATTCTTGTCACTGTCCAAAGCAGTTCTGAAAACGTGCCTTCCCAAGTGTCCTCAGGAAGCATGATCAAAAGGAATGCTGCTGTCAAGTGCCATCTGAGGCAAAGCAGGCTCGTCACAGCACCAGTGCGTGCCTGCCCTCCACATTCACTGGAGCTGGCAATGTGTGACCAGTGGCTCTTCTTCAAAGTCAATGTGACCTTGAAATGTAAACATTTGGAATCAACTCAGGAAACTGACGCAGCCAGGACAACACACCTAAAGATACTCATGGAAGAGGATGTCCAGAACTATGGATTGTGGCAAGAATGGGGGGATAAAGCTGTTTGAAGCGAGGAGAAGGACTCAGGGGGAGGCTAAAGGCATTGTGTCCTAGTGTAAAATAAACTTTTAAAACCATTAAACATGTACTGTACTTATAGACCACACCTCCTGTCAGGTAGAATGAACCCGGCAGGTTGCCAATGAGCCATCAGGATGCGGCCAGAGAGAGGCACGTAGGCTGATGGTGAGCCCTGGAGCATGCTGGGTAGGCAGTCTACCATTACCCTCTGGCACCTTATTTGCTTCATGAAATCAGTAGCTGCCTTTAACTACTACCTCATCCTGTCTGCTATTTGGAGGGCGACACCAACTTCTTCTTTGGGTTTTAAGTGCATGCAGATCTGGGCCAGCTGCACAGCTGTCAGGCCAGGATTTATTTGGCTCCTGGTAATTACCACCATGGCCTATAATACTCCTCTTCCCCAATCTTGACTTCATCCTTGTTTTGCTAAACTACATGTAATTTCTCCAGAATGAATATATGGAAAATCAAATTTCTGAGTTCTTCTACATCTCAAAATTACTTTATTTTTGCCCATGTGCTTGACTAATAGCATGGGTTTATGGTGAATTCTACAATTGCACCAATTTTCTGCTAGGGTCAGTTTTCCTATTTATTTTTTTTTTTAGTCTTTCCTGTCCATGCTGCCGATTTTCTTCAAATAGCTGATGATCTCTGGTCGCTCACCCCAACGGGGGCATGAGGAACAGCAAGGCCAATGGAAGGAGACCTCTAAATGATGGTGGCTAGTGCAGCGTTAGACATTTCCTTTCCAGATTAATGGGCGGGAAGCTGGAGTCTACCCTACACCCATAAGGGTAGGTGTCTCGAGCAGGAAAGCCCTGCCTCCAGCACTAGTTTTTCATGAACAATGCCCTCCTACTCTGGAAGGGAGCCACCAGTATTTTCCCCAGCAGCCCACATGGCCAGAGACAAGCAGGACTGGGCATAGCCAACAACACTCTCTGTCGCCTTTGGCTCATCTCATTGTTTTTCGCCAACTCTTCACGTCCAACCTCCATACCCAAGTCTAGGACTCTCAGGTTGAGCTTTCTTTTCAGTTGTGACTCTCCACTTGTTCCAGCTCTGAGCTCTGTTACTTAGTTCCTTCAGTGACATGTCCATTTATTAGTTGTCCAAAGAGAAATGGAGTGATCCTCTTGTCTGTTGTTACGGATCCTGCTCTACTGCCTTTGCCTGGGAGGCATAGAGGGGTGTTGTCCACAAAAGTTTGACACTTCCAACCACACTGTGGAGACGCCAGCTGTGGGGTCATGGTGTGGCACAGGCACAAGGGAGGGCACTGCTGAAATCAGACCCAAGCATCACTGCCCAGTATGTCGCCCT